CTTAGTCTATCCCTGGGCGAGGAACCAGCAGCTGCTTGAGTACTCTCAGACAGAAACTGTCTCCCAAGCCCAACAAGCCTGTGTTTTCTGGCTTGCATTGCTCACAGCCATCTGCTCAAGTGGCACATGCTCCCTTGTAGTGGTTGGGCTCTTCCCTTAGAGCACAGGAGCCAGGCAAAGGCAATTCAGATCAGCAGCCCTGAAGACACTGCCACAGGTATATCTCCTTCAAAGAAGTCCTTCTACCTCTTCAGCTCTTACGTAGCCTCCAAGACACTTAGCAACACCTTCGATGCATCTGGAAGAGGAGAACTCACCTGATGGAGAAGAAGTATGGACACTCCTAGGTGGCTTTGACAGCATGTATCATGGCCCATCATCTAGGTTCTAATGAAGAAAGCTTCCAGGTGAGCCTCGTGAAGGCATTAGAGTAAGCATTACACATAGAGGTGTGATGGAAACATAGGTCCTTGGGCTATTATTTCCAGTCTATAGGTGATGAGCACACTCCTTCCATGCCAGTGAGTGGAGGAAGGGGATGGTGCAGCCTGGTGTCTGCAGGAGCTGTGTTCGGTTCCTCGGCTGGGATTACCTTCCACTAATCTGCTGATCCTGCAATGCCCCAGAAGAGTCTCAAGAGCTGCCAAAGTTGCAGAAAACCAATTTGATTGGCAAGCGAGAGCCCTGGGAGTCTAATGTACATGCTGTAAGCCCATCCAAAACGGGATGGGAAAGAGAAACCTGCAGGCCGTACTCAAAGATGAACCAGGGTTTACAGCTGGCGGAAGAACCAAAAAAAAAAAATCAAATTGCTACAAGTTTGGGGCCTTAAACCCCTTCCTCCAGGAATTTCCGGATCTGTGAATTGCACTGTAGTGAATAACATTGAATTCCTGTGAAAAAAAATTACTAACAAATGAAAGAACCAAAGCCTGCTTTTTTTTCCATGAAAACAGCTGGGACTTTAAGGCTCTGAGACTGTAATTATTGCAGACTTGGTACACCTCACTGTAACAACATAGGAAAATATCACACAGCGACAGGGAGAAATAGGGTTGACTTTTCTTCCTTTTAAATCTCAATTAAAAAATACATTGGATGAAATTTCCCATTAGCTGGTACTATTTGTACATCCCATGTTCTTTCTTTAATTAAAAAACATGCTTATTGCAATACTGCTGGAATCGCTTTTACGGTATTTTAATTGTAATGTCTCTGCCTGATTAAAAAAAGAAAATATGAACTAGAAACTGCTGCAAAAAGTATCACAATGCACATCCCAAATGGGTTGAGCAAAGTGGCATAGAAAACACTGCAACACTAGCAGCTTCCAACCGTGCCTACTGACAAGGGATTTTAAACGAGGTTTAAGGACTGGTTGATGCCATAGACAGGAAAACAGAGGGAAAAGCTTTTTCCTTTCAACAAATTCAAACCCAGTCTCTATCAGCGGTGACCGAAGCACTAGTTATTTGACAACTACTTATGCAGGTGTATCAGCTAGTATTTTATACTTTTTGCAAGAAAGCCTAAGATAAAGCCAAGAAAAATCAATATTTGGATTTGTCTCCTCCCCTGATCTACTCATAGGTTCCATTCTAGCCACAGCCTCATCTGAACAAGGATTACAAGAGATCCAAAACATTGATGGATAAGCATTGCTCTTTGGACATGGTTTCAAAACGAGGTAATAACTGACAATATCATGAGTATCTCTGGGGCTTGTGATTCTCTTTTTGGGTTTTTTTTTCATAGGATCTCATAGTTTGAAAAAAACCCAAACACGATATTTTGGAAATTGAGTGCACAGTTTTTAGAGGCAGATGAAGTGGGTCAGACCTTTTCAAAACCTCAGCCTGGAGTCTGACCATGGAAGAGGGAACTGATATGCTGGTTTCAGCAGGGCTGCCAAGATGCCTACAAGTGAGAGCTTGTGACAAGTCATACTGAGGCTTTTCTAGAGTCGGGGCCAAAGCAATCTCTTCCCTTATGCTTGCAAGGATGGCCATCTCAAAGTTGCCATTGCAAAGGCAACTGGGGATCCTCAACCCCACCAGGGTATATTGGCCGCGTCACCCCAAAATTCATCCCCGAGGTATTTCTGAAAGACCAGGCAGATTTTTTTGGTCTCCCTAGAGCACTATAAATTCAGACAAAGGCAATAGCACATGTCTGAGATATCAACCCATCAAACACAAAGGAGTTACTCCAGTGTAAGCTCTGCGCAAAGGAAATTTCCATCTGTCCTGGGTTATCATAAATATTTCCATACTTGTGATGTTGGGATTACAAAAATAAATGCAATCTGCTGAATTTACAGAGTTATCTAGAATCTGTCTATCCTGTATCTCTTCCCCAATCAGTACTGTCTGAGCAGTTTCACAGTCTGGCTATTAAACTTTCCACTGCCGATAACCACGTGTTCATGCTCTGCTCACTGAGGGGGAAGTAGAAGCTGCTGAGCCCTCATGGCAGTGAGCAGGACCCAGATGCCTAATCCTATTTCTCTGTTGCTTTGGACTCCAGATCTTCTGTCCAGGCAGTCTGGGCACTACCAGAACCACTATATGTATTTGGCTATATATTAATACAGCCAAAGCAGGGTGACTTTAAGGCTGCACATATAGTTGACATCCTCGTTATAATACTCCTTAAACAATTTCTGCAATGTCAAAATCATAAGGAGACACCACAGAGACAGTATTTAAAATCCCCATGGTGTCTGAAAATAGGGGAATTTCAAGAAATGGACCTGTAAACACGTGTTGGGTTTGCTGGATACAGCACCAGAAAATAAAGTGTCTTCGCAGAGGAGTGGACTCAGCATTACAGGGCTTTTTCATCCATAAAGTCTGTTATATTTTCAGCTTGTGAGTGCACAGACAGTCTGATGCTGAGTCATGAAAGCCAAAGGGAGCAGAACTACAATATTTAATCCCATTCTCCAGTTCCAACTAAGAAAAAGTCCCCAGATAGAATAGGAACGGGATGCTTCGATTGAAGCACATATCTACACCTGCCTACAGGTTAGGGGCTTATAGTCATGCCTGTCTGGCAGTTGAGTAAGCTTGGCAATTATCTGAAATGTTCACAGAACCATGTAGTTGCTACTCTAAGGGGATCACCTATCTGTGATTCACCTTAAGATGGGTATCTATAATACCTAAGATGAACAAGTCTTTGGTGGTGTGTGTTTATCGATACAGAAGCCTAAACAACTCCCCTGCACCAGACAAGTTAAAGAAAAGTAAGGTTAGGAAAGATGAATCCAACCTAGTCTCAGATCAGAGTAGATCTCAGCATGTCTTAACTCCAAATCCAAGGATAAACAGCCGGCAGCACCTGTGTAAGTGGGGGTGGATGCAACACGGAAACTTTAGCAAAGATGAAGCTCAGATAAACAACAACCATGTAGGTGTCTGCTTTTAAAATATTTGATCCTTATGTTTGGCATGCAGCCAGGCAGAAAGTAATAGCATCTAGAATATTTTAATGCTGCTTTCTTAACTGAATCTACATTATAAACCAGGGTTCTTGGAAAATGTGATAAAAGGGAGAAATTATTTGAATGTCAGACGAGCCGAAGCCGTAAAGATAGTGCTCCAGACTTCATTAAATTCAGTCAGACCTCCATTTGCTTCATGAGTGCTGACTCATAGATCAAATGGGCCTTTGAGTAGGCTCAAAGTTCAAAGGGTTTCTGCTGCAATATTGAGCCCCAATTCCTCACAAAGTCAGAGACTGAGCCCCAAAATCCTCATCCAGGTTTGCAGCCAAAAGTCTCAGAAATCTGGCGCTCTGACCTATCTCCTCTGCTATATGTCGTGATCACACCAGGGTTAAGAAGAATTTTGCATCACCCAGATTTAGGATTTTCACTGGGGAAGAGAGGGAAGAAAATTGTACTAAAAGATAACACTTTTTTAAATCTCAAATTCTTGCTCTTTTTTTAAAAAAAAAACAAACCAAGAATGATGCCTGGTGTAGCAATTCTTGAAAATCTCTTAACCTAGACTGAGCAAGTTCAACCTCTTTTTGGAAATGTTCTCACAATAGGGGTAAACTTGCAAAGCTTTTTCGTTATAGAATGATCATTTAAAGTTAGATTAAAAGATTATTGTCAAACGCATGTTTTCCATCATCATCTCAGTGAAAAAACAATACTTTTAACATCCTTTTAATAGAAATTAATTTTTGCCAGAAAAGAAGATCCAGGTCCTTAAATATATAAAGCCTCCTCTTTCTATTTTTTGAGCTCTATTTCAGCAGAGGTTTACACATAGACTTAACTTCGAGACTTAATTTCACCAGAACAACTCGTTCACTTAACACTAAGCCTGTGCACAACAGTTTCCACAACCAGGGCCTAATTTCCAGGGAGGAGTATTTCTGGCACTGAACTACAAGTAATTTTAATTCTTACCTTGACACCCACAGAGATATACCTCCTGACACTTACGCTGAGTCTACCCCAGGGTACGTGAACACTGCGAACCCAGTGTTTCCCCCCATAATTGTGCTCAGTAATTTACTCTCCACCAGCCATGCTCTAGGATCTTGGATTATTTATTGCATTTGGTAGCTGTGGCCTGTAATTCTGTAACATCATTAATTTTGTAAAGGCTTTTGCAACACGCTTGCCTCAAAGATGCCAAACAAAACAGAGTTGATTATTGTTATCAGCGCTGCCGTTATCACTGAACGCCACTCAGGATAACAGCGCTTTCAGTAGCTGGGGGAAAGAAGAAAAAAAAAAAAGCCTTCCTACTCATATTGTCATTATGCCTCAAACAGCATAAACGATGCCTTCTGCATACATAATAATTAAACGCTTCCCCCGTCCCCCATCACCATCCTGTTGTCTCTACCGAGAGCAGCCTCAGCCTGCTTGACCATGTGTCTCCTTCGATGTAGGAGCTGGGCAAGTGAAGGGGAGATCACGACCATGAAAAAGTCTAGCCCGGGAGGAACAAGAGCACTGAACCCCCACTTCTGCAGACCTTTGAGATGCAGCAGGTTGAGGTTGGTGGTGGTGGTCCCCAGCAGCAGGGTCCGACCTTCTTCTATCGTGACGTTATCGCCACCTCGCGGCTGGTGGCCAGCAGGCCAGCTGGAGTCCTCGTCCCATCGGCCACAAAACTGGAGGGAAAGCTGGAAAGAAAAAAAAACCAGAGAGGTTCAAAACTCCCCCCTTCCCACCCTTCAGGAAGCCAGCTTGCTGAGAGCGTGGCGTAGGAGATGCAATGCCATGCCAGCTGCTTTCCTGGGGAGATCCCACATCAAGAGAAGGGATGGAGGGACGTTGGTGTTGGAGAGGCTCTTGGCTTTCGGAAATGCCTGTGGTAATTTGGGGTCTGCCTCTTGTCTCATTCTGCTCTGGGTAACAAGGGGCTTGCCTCCGGTCTGGCTGCAGAAATTCTGCAGGTTTCCTGGTGTGTGTCTCTCTCTGCCTCTCGAACAGCAGAACTGCACGTTAATTCCTGGCAATGTCATAAAAATAGCCTGAAGAGTTCAGCATTAAAACATCCAGCTAGATGGGCAATAGTTTGCTTTACAGGATTTTTCAGAGGCTCTCCTGCCACCTGTCCACATTGAGAGAGATACTCTTCCTTTCAAATGCCTCTTCAGCTCCCTCATCTTATGCAGCATTATCATCACCTCTCCTTTCAATGGCTTGCACATCAGTTCCGAATAAAGCACTGATTAACTTGAAAACAGCAAATAGACTGACTCGTGATGAGCAGCAGCAAAACAACATCGGCCTGTTTCAAGTCAGTGTTCCTCCTTACCTCTGAACTTGAAGCATGCGCTTCCCAGTGAAGGTTTGACTGATTTCTTCAGGAATGTGTGCACATTTTTGCATGGACATGCGTGCACAAGCGTGGACATATTCTTTGGACTACACATGAACTAGCAAAACCAGCCTCAACTCATCTGAGGAGGTAGCAGGGGAAACCAGACATTGAAATATTTGTGGTCCTCACTGGGTTGTGCTAATCCAAAACAGTGGTGGGAAGAATAACCTCAATACAAAAGCAAAAAATAGTTACTCCATTTTCAGTCAGAGCACATCATGTGCATTAAAGCGTTTGCTCCGGAGCTGCGGTTTAGGTGAATCAATACTGGTGGTGTTATGATAGTTATTCTTTCGACTGTGCTATTGTCAGTTTTAGCTTTATGTGCCTGATGTTTTATACAACATTTCTTATAGCACCTAGAGCAGTCAGATAACTATAATATGGTGACTACTCTCTTAATTATTTGCATTGGGGAATTGCAACCAAGGTGTTGGTTCCCAGGTTAAATGATACAACTGGTTCATGTCCATCCTGTCTGTAGGGTATGGATACTGGTATTTTGTATCCCCTGTCCCATTCTACAATTTCCATACAAAGGGAATTACTTGGTCCAATTTAGAGTGAAGCCTGGGACTGAATTAACACGCATGCAATGAAAACACCTGGGGAACTGAGTCCCCAGCATCAGGGGGAGTGAACCACTTGATCTTGACAGAAGTACAGCTAAGCCTTTGCATCTGTACACAACTGCTGCACAGAGTACAATTTCTCCATGGTTCCTAAGTGTAATAAGTTTCATCTTTGTTACTTGCAAACATATATTTATATATTTCAGAGATTTAGGACAAAATTCCAGAACCAGATTATACACCATATACAAGGATATACAATAGATTCTCTGAAAAAAAAAGAGCTAAATAAACAGGTTTTTATCTCAGAGAAGGGGACCGAAGAGGGCACAGTTCATGGAAAGGCACACATTTCCCAGATACACTGTTTATCAAGCCAACTGTAGCACAAAATTGCAAATTCCGTAAATTCCTGTCCGGCACAACCCCAACAAATGCTGCTAGCTAAACACTGCTCGATACAGTTGTGACATGGTGGGATCCATCAGCACATTTTGCTAAGAAGGTTTGTTAAATGGCTTGAAGTCACTCTGATGTCATTCTAACCCTCCAAAGTCACTTAGAAGCCTCCAATTAACTCGAATGGGAAAGCAAGGGCATAAGGAATATACCAGGTTGTTGTTCTCGTTAGCACCAAAAACTTAGTAAACTGTTGGTAGAAGTCTTACAAGAGTCCAGAAAAATGAGCTCTCTTATGAATTTGACTTTTTTTTTTAAGATGGTTCCCCTTTCTAGCTAGAAAACACTAATACACACATAAACTAATTGCACATCCCTCGTCAAGCAGGGTGGGTGACAGACTCACAGCTCTAGAAATCCATGCCCACACCTGGTCCTGCTAATTTCCCTCCATGTAATCTTGAGGAACCTCCTTGCTTACCACGACTGTCTTGTCTAGCTCCCCCATTAACACTATGGGACAGGATGTAGCCCATGCTGACCCTACAGACACCAAACACCACCATCTCTGCATGCCAAGGGTGGCATAGGGGACTTTGCTGCCCTGTGGGCTGAGCCTGGTCTCACAACTGCTGGGATGAACTGACTCACTTGAGACTCCAAAGAAAAACCAGTGAGACAGCCATCTTATCTCTTGAAGGGCTGTATGGCTATGTCCTAAACATCTTCATCATGAAGAGACTCCATCTCCTCTCCCTCTGCCTGCAGCTAAGCAGGAAAATAACATCTCCCTCATTGGTTTTTCATAAAAGCAAAACTCTTTCCTTTTTCTTTTTTCCGCCTGTTTGGCACCCAGCATTTGAGCTATGGTGTTTAAATACTTCTCAGTAAGACTGAAAATCAGCAGCAGCTGCAAGCACCAGGGTCATGGCTGAGCACCCGTCCCATGTGATACCCTAAGGGTCAAAAAGACCCCAAATGTAAAACGGCTCACATGCATAAGATTTAGGCCTTATTGTCTAGCTTGCTGTTACTTTGCTAAAATTAGTATTGTCTAGCTTGCTGTTGCTTTGTTATTAGCTTTGTCTAGCTTGCGGTTGCTTTGTTAAAGTCTGTAGTATAGTTACTTAGTGAATTTAGAACCCTATTCAAGGACGGGGAGAATCGGGAGGGGATGAAGCAAAAGATAATAATGGTTTGCCAAGGTTGCCAGACTAGAAGGAATGAGAACTAATTGATGTAGAAAGATTTGTGGCTCCTTACAAAGGACAGTTTTTTGATAAGAACCAGGTGTTTACCTCAAGAGCTGGTCTACACCGACCCTGCAGTTTGGGCAAGAGCCAAGGAGCAACTGAGTCTGCGCAAGAACAAGGGGTTACTAGCGGTGATGAAGAGGAGCCATCGGCCTTCATCCCCACGACCCCCGACGACCACCACCAGGAGGCACTGAGCAGGCGCAGTGGGGAGGGACTTATGGAAATGACCTCCTGAAGCTAATTTTAATACAAAGCGGAGACAGGTTATGCATATGTATAGGCATATCGGAAAAATTCATACATATGTAATACTTTGCTACATATAAACGGACAAGTTGCCACTTGATGGTATGCACGTTAGGTGGAGCGATCCCCCGTGCATCCGGCGCCATGAATAAAGAATGCCTGCCTTCTAACACTACATTGGTGTTACGAGGTTCATTCTTCCCGATTTCGGTGACACATGCGTGCTTGTTGAATGACCCAGGAGGAACCTGCAGAGCTGGGGAAAGCTGCTCATCAGCGGCTAGTGGTGGGCATTTTCCTCCTGTGTTTTTTTCCAGCTTCAGCACAAGGCGCAATAAATAACAGGGAGCTTGAAAGTCAGGATGGGGAAGAGCAGAGTTGGCATAAAATGAGCCCTGAATGATGAAGGTGGAGCTGGCTGGCTGCAGCAGTGAGGAGGTAGCTTCATGCTGGCTCCAGCACATACCAGATAGTTGGAAAAGATGATTTGGAGGAAACAGGGCGTATGAGACCATAACATCTCTGCATCTGTCTTGCTATCAGTGGTCTCACTCAAACATGGCCAGCTTCACCTAGGTTTAACAGAAGCAGTGAGGTCACAAAGAGCTGCATTCCCTCAAGGTTCAGGTTTAGACTGGATATAAGGAAGAAATTCTTTACAATGAGGGTGGTGAAACACTGGAACAGGTTGCCCAGAGAGGTAGTGGAGGCCCCATCCCTGGAAACATTCAAGACCAGGTTGGACGGGGCTCTGAGCAACCTGATCTAGTTAGTGGTGTCCCTGTTCACTGCAGGGGGCTTGGACTGGGTGACCTCTAGGGGTCCCTTCCAACCCAAAACATTCAATGATTTTGTGTTTCTATGAAGGTTCAGGAAAATCAGTAGCTAGATTGAGGCAAGAGACCCTTCTGGTGTTTTCCCCAAGGACACAAGTATAGCATGAGCTGAACATTTAAAACAGACACCCAAACTTTTGTAGGATGTGCCCTCATATCAGACATCCGTAGGAAACCCACCCTGACAGCATTTCACATTTTGAAACCAGTACAGCAGATGCCACTATCTCAGTAGGGAACCAAGCCTGCAAAATACGGGGAGAAACCTCAGGAGGGTGGGAAATCACAAACACTGAAAACCCTTAAAGAGCCAGTTGTTCTTCCAGGGGTACCAAAGAGCACGAGGACCAAGGAGGGGAGCTGACATGAAAATTCAATGAGCAGAGTCCTGCAAATCTCTTCCCGTCTCTGATACCCACTTGACGTGTGTCATGTGCAAACCATTTCAAGCCCACATCTTAGGTACCGAGCCCACAGCTTGTGTATGACACCGGTTAATTTGGGGGTGTATCATCAACTCCCTCCCGATTAGAGCTCCAAAAACATGAATGAATTATGTAAAGATGAAATAATATTTTAATAGCATGCAATGAAAGATGCACAGCCTCCTTGTAATTCAGCACATTATCCCCTTCCTCCCTGCTGCATTTTCTTTTTCCATTTTCAGGCAGATTTCTTTCCATTTTATATTTTTGGCTGCTGCTGTTGTCAGCCAGCCTGGGGTTGCCTTTATGTCAGCCTTTGGGGACACGTGCTCTCAGTACCAGTTTCTCAGCTCGTGCCTGTGACTACCAGGGCTCAGAAACAGCAGCAGCAACTGCAACAAATGAATAAATAAGTGATATACTTGCATTCTCACACGGGCTGGCAAACAAGTCACCAGGGGAGGGATCGGAAGTGACCACTCCTTCAAGGTTTCGTGTAAATTTTTGTCAAATAATGATTATTCTGCCAACACAGCACATGTTTATCTGGTGATTTTTAACT